AACATAAAAACTAAAGGCACTTGGAAAAATAAAACACAACAAAAGATAAAACACATGAATGCGAGAACACAAAACCTTAAGCAACAAGGAGAGAGGCACCAGTTTGTTCATCCCTATGCTTGACTGAATTGACACAAGTACCTCCTGCAACCTAATGCAGAATTTTCTCACCACTACTAATCTGTCTTAGGGAAGGCCCATTCCGGGGTTGCCCTACGAATGACTGCCCTTTACCGAGACCCAAGGACAAAGCCCATTCTGTTGCCTTGCCTCTCGTGTCTTCCCTTGTAATCTTGTGGTGCAAAGGGAGGGTAATTAAGGATGGGAGTCTCTTCACTCGTTAAACTTAAAAAGCATATTAAAAGAATTACGTATAGCAAAATAGATATGTTTAAGAAATAAAAAGAAATAATAGATCCTAAAGTAATAAGATAAAATAATAGATTCCTCCTGATTCTCATTTCTTCATTATACATTATTTCTGTAGTTTTTGTGTTCTTGTATAAGGATACAAATAGCAATTCAAAAGAAAGTTTTATTAATCATAAAAACAGAAACAAATAAAATAAAACAGTAGGGAGGAGGAAAGTGTAGTTGCATTTTCTATACAGGTTCAGAGCCATGGGGTGAATACAGGGCATCATCACCCCCAGGAGATAAATCGTCTCTTAGCACTGTCTGGCGAGACCTGTTTCGAATTGTTTTGCATGCCTGTGGGAGAGTGATTCACTACAGTCCCCCCCCCCCCCCTCCCTTCTTGCTCCATCTTCCTCTCCTCCATCCTCCCCCCTCCCCCTCTGCCCAATCCTCCTTTACCTCCTCTCCCTCTCTCCCCTCTGCCCAATCCTCCTTTACCTCCTCTTCCTCTCTTCTGCTCCATCCTCTCCCCTCCCCCTCTGCCCAATCCTCCTTTACCTTCTCTCCCTCTCCCCACTGCCCCTCCCCCCCTCCCTTCTCTGCCTCCTCATCCTCATTTTCATCTTCATCCATATGAAGACTTTTGCATATGAAAATGCTATAGTAAAAAAAGGACAGAAAATGAAAATGAATTATAAATTTCAGGGCCACATTCACGAAAGGTCTATGACTATTATTTGTGATATTGTCTATGGTTTGTCCTGTTCCCACATCTCAAAGATAATGCAGTTACTTAGAACAAACATTGGTATTGTTATAGATACTATTTTGTAAAAAAAGCCATAAGGTAAAAATGGCAATAAATCTTATATTATATTGGTAATATTACACATTTAGCATATCAAAAAGTGTTGTGGCATCCGTATGTTTATTGCCTTTGCATCATTTGTGAAGGTAGCCACTGCCATTTGTATTTTTTGATAAAATATAACCATAAAAATGTAGGAAATGGCTCAGCTTATCGAAAGAGCTCTCACTTATTTTTATTACTATTTCCAAAGTCGAATAATTTTTAACAGATTGCAGATTGCGTTTAGGACAAATTGATGAGAGTCCTTACGTGTAAGAACAAAACTAAAGACAGTCATTATGGATGTGCATAGAAAAAATCAGTAAAATGTAGGAAATGACTAAATAAAATCGATAGGGGCTTTTCCAGTTGGATTTTAGGCAGAGTTCTTTGAATTGGTGTAAAGCTGCATCGTAGTTTTAAAGACCATTCTTATGCATGTGAACATATCCACACCTGTCTAAAACTTAGGCCGGGTCATAGACAACAGCTGGCACTCACATTTTTGTGGGGAGTCGTAGACAGATTTGCCAAGTTAGGGGAAGATAATGACACATCAGTAATGATAAGTAAACTGGGGGACTATTCTGATTGATTGTCAACTGTTAATGATCCTTTTTCTACATATTTATTGCAATTTTCTATATGAAAATACAAATGCAGCAGATGCAGTGACAACAAAGTTAAATATGTAAAATGTGTAATACTGTTGGCATTATAGGATTAATAATTATTGTAGTATGATGGTGAAGATATTACTGCAATCAGTTATCTTCATAGTCTATAGTGATGTAAATGTTTCTATTACCAGCATTAAGTCTGAGATGTGGCAACGCAAGTCATAGACAAAATCGTAAAGAACAGTCATAGACCTTTCTTGAATGCTGCCCCAGCCCATTTATAAACACAGTCTGTATATGCTCTATTTTTTTTTTACATTGTCAGGAACTTGTGGTCCGCATCATTGGCTCTGAAGATGGCAAAATGCTGATTTCTCTTCTGTTAGATGATGATGTAGTTATTGAGGATTCTGGTGGAGAGCCAGCCACTGTGAAAGACAGTACTAAACAAGGGCTTGAGCCTGATAGGGTTGACACACCACCTGGAATGAACACTTCCATAGCCGTTCCATCAACTTGTGTGCAAGATGCTGAAGAAGTAGTGGATCAGAATCTCAGTGGAGAGAGCCAATCCAGAAAGTGGTATGTTCCAGCTGCCAAAGGTGAAGAGGTTGAAAATCCCCAGTCAGACTTTCTGCTGACAAGTTCTCTCCCAGCAGAAATCCCTGCAGAACAGATGCCACTTACAAGCCAGCAGGAAATGTCAAAGGGCAGTGTACCACAGTTAACTGGGGTGTTCATGAACTTTAGAAAAAACAAGGATCCCATAGGTGGTATTGTGAGTCCAGATATGGAGAATCCCACTCCTTCAAGCAAAGGAAGTGCCATGTTAGTTGAAGAAAGTCATCCCAGTGCCAGTCCTCCACCTCATCCAAGCAACGGGAATGGAGCAGGAGGCCAGCATGTTAAACACCCAAGTATTGCTAGTGGGTTGAGTAGTTTTTTACCTTCCACACCAGGGAGAGTCTCTCACTCCTCCATCTCGAGTCCTTGTAAAACAGACTTAAGAAATGTTCCTAATATGGAAACCAAAGAGCCATTAACACCACCTTTGAAAGATTGCATTGACTTCGGCCAAAGTGGGACAGTAAACCATGTTGAAAGTAAGCATGAACTGAAAGAAATGAAAGGGGATGGCATTGCAAAAGCTGCAAGCATAGGAGAGCGAAATGAGCACCAAGTAACCCAACCATTTAATGGAAGGCGCTTCCTTGACTGCATTGAGGAAGTAGAAGAATGTAGTGATGATGGGTTTACAGAAGTGCAAGTAAATCCTTACTCGGCCTACCTAGTGCACATTGAAGAGTCCCCATTTTCCCTGTGGATTCAGAAAGAGGAAGACAATGATTTGGCAGAATACATTGAGACCTGGTACAAGGAGCATAACCAAGAGAGAGTGGACACCATCAAAGTTGGTGATATTTGCGTGACTGTCTTGGGTGACAGTGCCCAGCGTGCGTATGTCCAGTGCATAGAGGATGCGAATATAAAAGTCCTCCTGATTGACCAGGGAAGGCATGCTGTCATCTCAAAACAGGACCTGTTTAAGTTACCCGACAGCCTGACAGACATCCACCCTCTGGCAATGCAGATTTACCTTCCAGTAAAGGTAGCTCCTGGAAGGGAATCTGGGGCCGTCATCGCGGTGGCCGAGGTAGCCCACCAGCTGAAGTGCGTGTGTCTCGACCTGGACAGCAGATATACCCTGATATGGTGCCCCGGGGTGGGTGACCTCGGGGACTTCCTCGTGGATAATAAGCTCGCGACACCCATGCATTGGAATGTCGGCTGGAAGTATCGATACATAACCTCAGTGAAGCGCAGACTTGAAGAAGAAGCCTTGCTGCTGACGTTCCGATGCCAGGCAGGAGGACTCCTTTTATCAAACAGCTGACACCGATCTTGCGGCGAAGTTGGAACAGTCGCTCAAGACCCTGAATGCCAACTCAGCATGAGCAGCTGAACAAGTACAAAAGAAGTTGTTTATTTAAACTTTAATGAAAGTTGAGTTATGTTTGTCTTGTGAAGACAATTTATCCATGTGACGATAAAACGGAGACATTTTTCTATTAACCGTGGATGTAAAAGGTAAATATAGATGGCATTACTGTATTGATGGAAATTTTGTGAAAACCGCTACTTTGTTACAAGGTTAACAAAATGTTATAATTGTTTCAGAAAAAAAAAATTAAGTATATTAGAAAGTTTCTTGTATTGCAAAAAGTAGCATTTTTAGTTTTGCGATGTTACGGAGCTTGTGGCAAAGTGGAATTGGAGAAAATAGCCAAAAATTATTCATTGTTTACAGTAATGATAACTAGAGATTTTCAAAGATCCTGTATATTTAAGGCAAAAGCTATTGTATGAATATGTTCATAATTAAGTACAATTTTGGTTTCACATATTTTCCCTCATTTTCCTTCACTCAAAATAATATAGGGACTCTTTTCGACTTAAAAACATCAATTGAAAATGATACATACATCAGAAAGCTAGAGCTAGAGCTTTATACTGCTTGCAACAGTTATTGTCAAGACAATCATGCAACATCAGTGAATTTAGTATTTTTTTTTTTTTTTTTTTTTTTTACTCGCCCCCCCCCCCCCCCCCTTCCCTCAGTCCCCTTTCCCTCTCCTCCCTTCTTTCAATCCTCTTCCTCTCCCCCTTTTCCTTCAGTCCGCTCCCTCTCCCTCTCCCTCTCCCTCTCCCTCTCCCTCTCTCCCCCTCCCTCTCCCTCTCCCTCTCCCTCTCCCTCTCCCCCTCCCCCTCTCCCCCTCCCCCTCTCTCCTTTTCTCCCTCTCCCTCTCCCTCTCCCCCTCTCTCCCTCTCCCTTTCTCTCCCTCTCCCTCTCCCTCTCCCTCTCCCTCTCCCTCTCCCTCTCCCTCTCCCTCTCCCTCTCCCTCTCCCTCTCCCTCTCCCTCTCCCTCTCCCTCTCCTTGCGCGCTCATCATCTGCCAAATTTAAAACCACCAACCAGTGAAGCTGATCTAGAGCTTAAGGGTAAACCCAAGGTGAAGAAAATACCTTGGCACGAGCGATTACTGGCCACTAACGTTACCCGTTCACGAGGCACAGCTTTAAAGAAAATGGTGATTAAAGATACTTGTGTTGCACTTGAAGGGGATCGGCCTGTGTGAAATGAGAATAAGAGGTTTAGCTTCAAAAGACAAGACTTGTATGGCGTAGATTTATTTAACATAACTTAGGCATATAATACAAAGTAACGCCTAGTATGAAGGGCGTCGTTACACAAGTGATACACAGTGGAACATGATTCAAAAGCAGTCACCCTATTTACAAATATACAGCGAGATGCATTCATTTCCTGTTGGTATTTATAAAGTCAAGTGTTGTGAGTTATCCCTTAAAAGCGCTACATCCTGGAGACTACAAGCTTAAGTGAAAGGGCAGAAGGAAGACTTGTCTAAAACACCTTTATAAAGAAAGGAGAGAAGAGGAGAAATAGAATGACAAAGAAAATGTGGGGAAGTGGGGGGGGGAGAGAAATGCCCCGAGTCTGGTTTGATATGATTTGTCAGAGCAAGATAACGCAGATTCAACCCAAGTTGATTCGGCACACTTGAGGCTAGACATTTCTTTTTCCTTGAGCCATGAAAAGCAGGGGAATATCTCAGTCGCGCAATAGGGAAGGCTTGTCAAAGTTGAGAGGAAGATTAGAACCTCGAAAAAGTAAGAGATTCCACATCCACGTCTCAAACTCTGGCTTGAAACTTTCCCTTGTGTGACTCGCCCAAAAGGAACTGAATGTTCTCTCTCTTAAGATTAAACTGACTTAAAAAAGGATAATATAAATATGAGCAAAATAAAAATCCAATTAAAGATTTCAAAAAAATGTACAGCGATAAGAAAGAAGAGTAAAAGACAACTGAAAATGTGACCAGCACACTAGTAGTAGTTGATTATAAATTATTCGGACAAAAATCATGGGAGGAAACTAGGAGGACGTCTAAAGGGCACATTAAGATCCTTCTAAAAGCAGTGAAACAAGGTCCACGCGACAGATTCTTCTACAAATAGTAAAATCCTACGAAACTTTTGGAAAAACGAGTAAGCACATATTAAAATATTGTGGGTGCATAGTACATGTAAAGATTGTGCTATGATACACAGGCTTCATTATTGCTAAAACACTATTGTTCTTCTAACTTCTATCGGAACCATATACTTGTTATTATTATAGTTATTATTATTATTAATTATTATAATCGTAACCTTCCATAAAAGGTAACTAGGTTTTAAAAATGGCTAGAAAAATACCTAAATCTACGAACAGATACACAATGTCGTAAAGCGAGCAATACGGAAATGCCACAGAAACATACCGAGGACACACGCTGAGACAGTGTGTCCAGAACCAAGCTGTTTTAGTTGGTCCACTTACGGCCTCGATACAAAATAATCTGAAGGATTTGTTTCTCTTTGTCTCGATTATTTTTTATGAAAGGAAATCGTCAACAGAGACTCGCTTGTGAGAGAAAATGAGCATCTCGTATTCCGTGATGGCGAACTGAACACAATACTGGTGCTTCCAGTGGTATTAAGCCTCCTCCAGGAATCTGCCAACTCTTAAGAATCCCTGAATTAAACCGAATAAAGGGATTTCCATCGACGAATCCAAACCCTTAAAGCTTCCTCGGACAACCAAAGGAATCCCTGGGGGAACACGAGATGCAGTCATACAAATCTTGGTTTTCATCTTTGACTCACTGTCGAGGCCCCTGTCGACATCACAGAAAATAGTACGCTTACCTCTAAATCCTTCGGTTATAGACCGGCAATAACGCCATTATTGCAACTTCGAAATGAAAATGATATAAAAAGAAACATACTAGGGAGATTTTTTTGTGTGGTTGTGGATATAGTAAGTCATTCCGATGGAGAAAAGGAACGAAATCAGGGTAGAAATCGAAAAATGAAAAAGATTCCCAAAAGACGGTGTTTCCACTCAGGCATTAACGGTAACGCAAGGATCTTTGAGCACAGGGAAATTTCAGCGTCGCCTTCGTCTTCTGTCGCCGCGATAGGTAATGAGCGACTATGTATTTTTTTTAAAAAGTCAAAGGAGTTATCACATTTAATTAGCCACTGACATCGCCGTATAAAGAACCTTTTTGTCAACATCACACTTGAAAGAACCTTACATCGTAGGAAAGTAAAACAGTATGTAACAAGAAACATGTTTCACATCATGTGTTACTCTATGAAAACAAAAATAATCGCGGCTACTTTGTTGGCAAGTATAAATTTCATTCATTTCCATTGAAGAGTTCGGACATACAAAAATACTGGTCTTGTTATAACACTTCATGCCAACGAAATAGCAGTATATTCGATACTGTCAAAACACTAGACTTCTTTTAGGTTGCTTATTATTGCTGTTTAACATCATCCACGAAATGAATACTGAAGTTACCTCTTGTTAACACCCATTTATGTTTGCCTATCGAAGAAATGTCACCATTTAAAAAAATCAAAACACAAAACTCATTATCTCCTACAAGATCGTGCATGACCTTCGTCAAACCGAAGCTGAGAAAAGGACCTTACAATGTTCTACGAAAAAAAAAAAAATCAATCAGCCCTTAGTTTGCTTTCCACCTGTTCCTCGTGAGACTGGATCACGCTGCACGTATATTCACTTCTTGTGTTTGTTTACTGTTGATATGCCTGACACTTGACGTAGGAATGGGAAAGTTCCATGCGACGACCCATGGCCAATACAATCTACAAATACCATCAGAAATTGAAGAGAAAAATACTCTCCTATGTAGCCTGGATTTAGAGTAGATTATAAAATTAAATTCTACGTCGCATTGGGCATGGGGCGTGCAATTACATCTATGTTTAATATTGGACAGTGAAAATGAAAACGAAACTTGGAGAAAACATCCCCTTGTGCCGGGAGGACACGGATCACAGGTTCAAACCGTTCCTCTTCCTCTCTCTATTCCTCTTCTTCCATCCTTCATTACCCAAATACAATTGACATTTATTTCCTTCCTTCCTTCCTTCCTTCTTGCCTTGCTTCTCCCCTTTATTTATCATTTAGTGTCGGCCATTTCGGTACTCGTTTTCCACCGTGGTGATGGTGGGGTGTCGCCGAGGAGGGGGTGGCGGCTGGAACTGGTCCGAGAGCCTGGACGAGGTGCTGCGCCGGTCGAGGGACGAGTCGCTGAAGGCCAGGGACTGCATGGAGCCGCGGGGTCCCTGGGGAGGAGAGAGGGGCGGCGTCAGGGAGGGACTCGTGAGGGAGGTCAGAAGGGCTCATGAAGAAACAGGAAGGGAATGCAGTGAGGAAATGTACGATTGATGGCAATTGAGACGAACTTCTTATTCTTTAGGATTTAGCATTTTAGCAATGAGCATGCATGCATAGCAAACTGAGGCACTCGCCCTCACCTTGGGGTACTGTCCCGTCTTGTGTCTGCGGTACAGCACCACCGCCACCACGAGGCCGCACACCAGCATGGCCGAGATGACGGTGAAGATGACGGTGGCGGCGAGGTACGGCGGCTCCAGCGGCATGGCCTCGCTCACGACCTCTCTCGCGCCCGACCGCACCTCCAGGGGCGCCTCCCAGCGGTGCTCTGAGACCTGGTGGTGGAACCAGGAGGCGCGCAGGTCGGCTGGCAGGCGCTTCTCATCCAGCTGCAGGGCCAGGTCGCCGTTCTTCACCTGGGGGAGAGGGGGAGGGTGGGGGCGTGAAACCAATTGGAACGATAGGAATGGAAATTGAGGAAGCATCATATTCATGAGCAAATCACCTTAAATTTCCAATTTGCCCAGCTCTATTCTTTGGTAATCAACAAGTCCTTAAAAATCTTATTAAAATTATAGCCTCATATAACGAAAATGGCAATGAAAGCGAGTAAAATTACCTTCTCCTCCAACTGGTAAGCAATGTCGATCTTGTTTTCCCCGAGCAGCGTGAACTTGACTTGCGTGAGATCGGGGAGGTCAACGACGCCGACCTCGTTTTCCAGGGTCTCTGCGGTCATCGCCTTCAGGAGGTGGTTCACCTGAGAGGATTCGGAGGAAGAGGAATGAGTTGCAGGAGAAAGGACAAATCTTCATAGTATGGAAAAGCCGGCACTACGAAAACGGTTTCCTCGTACAGTAATCTTAAAATATGTTCGCAATAAACGGGCAGAGGTGGCTGCTTCGTTTCCTAGACCGATGAAAAGAAGACTAGTTATAACGTCTACCTCGAAGCTATTCTAATCTAAGCGCATTACATTACGCGGACTCACCTGCTCCCGAATCTGGGGCCCCTTGGCCTTCCCGAGGTGCTTCATGCCGGCCTCGCGACCTCTGAACCCGAGCGTTACCACCACTGATTCCACCGCGACGAGGTCTGAAATAAGGTCAAGGGTCAAGGTCGAGTCAAAGGGAATATTCAGAGTTGGCAAAAAGAAAAGGAATAGTTATGTCTTTGGATTATTATTGTCTAGTCTGTCGGAGCATGAGGGGATATCACACAGCCACTTGTAGTCTACTATGCCATCTGTGAAGTTAAGAAAGGTCAGGAACTCACCGCACTCCCTCTCGCCCTTGGTGAAGTAGACGGTGGGCTGCGTCTTGCGTCCGGTCTCGTCGACGCACCAGCATTTGGGGGCGTCCTCCTGCTCGAGGTCCTGCTCCTGGTACTCGTGCTCCTCCTGGAGGTAGCGGCGGCCAGCGGTGTAGCACTGCGTCGGGATGAATCTGCCTTCGTCGTCGCACTGCGCTACATACTTCTGCGAGTTGCTCTCCTGAAGGTGTCTCTGCAGCAGCTGGCAGCGGGTCAGAGTCGGCTCGCCCTCTAGGTAGATGGTGACGGGACCGCCCTTGATCCCCGAGGCGCTCTCGCCCTTGCCGTCGTGGCGCTCGAACTTCGAGGAGGAAGACAACGAGGAGGAGGAGGGACCTAGGCCTCTGGAGACGTCGAAGCCAGTGTTGTCCTCTCCGTCGGCGCTCATCTGGGCGTCGCTGCTGCTCGAGTCCTGGAGGAGAGGGGCGGGGTCAGTGCCATGGCGTCGCGGGGGAAATGCGACTTAATTTAAAGATGTGTTGAGGCGTAGCTTTAGGATCACATAATTATCAGCTTTAAAATAAAAGGTTACATAAACCAACGCGTTTGTCTCACCTCCTCGAAAGTGAAAGCGAGGCGAGTCTTGGGCGGCGAAGTGGGCGGCAGGCAGGTGAGTGGGCGGCCGGACTCGTCCACGAAGGAGGCGGTGCAAGAGCAAGGGTCGACCTGGCACAAGGCGAGGGGGTGGCCGGGGCACGTCTTATTACGGCAGGCTTCGGCTCGGGAGCACTCCTGGGGCTCCATGCTCGCCGCCGACCAGTAGGGGCACAGCACCAGGTCTGCGGGGGTGGAGGGGAGGGGGGGGAGGGGAGGAGTCGTTACTTCACTTTTTCATTAAAAACGAGAAGGAAAATCAATAAGTCTGAGGAAAAGAAAAGGAGACGTTTCATACTTTTAGCCTTTTCATATCAAAAAGGTAAAACAAACAACAACAACAAAAAAACTACGACAGATCACCTAGAAGAGGAAACATGTGGACTAATTCACATTTTCACTCATCATAAAATGATAATGAATGTAAAAAGATCTTGAAACAGTAAGGAAACAGCATCTCTGTACAAGAAGGGAGGAAGAGGCATTGTTTCAAAACTCTCCCACCCGATGTTACATATTCTAAATATAAACATTTTATTCCGCATCAAAAGTAAGGAAAAACAGTACATCACAGACAGGTTGTCAGGAAGAAGAGAAGAAATGTCACGTTCTAGATCTTTTTGTTTTTTTGTTTTATATACAAAACTAAAGGACAACAAGCAAACAAAAGGTTTACAATACTGTCTTTGTGGGGAAGGAGACAAAAGTGTATATTAGTTTTTAGAGTACGCGCACAAAGAAGGAAATTTAAAAATAGATGTTATACATGTTAACAGTTCTAAAAAAATGGGGGGAGGTGATTTAATGGTTTTACATGTACGTTAGTGAAAGTAGATATATATATATATATTTTCTCGTAATCGCCTTTTCTTTAAACACAAGTAACATAGGAGAAAATAAAACAGAAGGGACATTTATACGAAGGAATGGGAGGAAAGTATAATACTTAACACTACTACAAGAAACCAGTTGGGGGTTTCTGATATTGACAGCTACGGTATTCAATTAAAAAAATATATATATAAACTATGTATTAAGACAAAAACAGTGATTCTAAGAAAAAGGTCAGTATCAGTATTCACTCTGATAACGGGATAACTTCATGGCGATTTCTACCCCGTAAAATAGGAAATAAACGAATAAATAAAGTAGCGCAATAATGAATAACAATAATAACGGGTGGCAGTGACACTTGAACAACAATAAAAGCCAACAACAACAATAGAAACAATAACAACGGCCTCGTAACGCCCTCTCGCCGTACCTGGGCAGCGCGACTCGCACTGGTTTTTGGAGCGGAAGTTGTTCCCGTTTCCTCCGCAGCCGCTGTACAGGAAGGGCTCGCACTTGCGCGTCTCCACGTTGTAGTACCAGCGCGCCTCGCCGCCCGTGCACACGCCCGCCTGCACCGGCTGGCTGCAGATGTCTGGGGGCGGGGGAAAGGGGGGGGGTAGAGTTTGTGGCTTGTCTTTCTTAATCGTTTTCGTTTATTGATTTTGCTGACTTTCATTTCCGTTGCGAGCGAAAACGCGGAAACATTTTATATACCACATATCACAATGGACAAAAAACGCTCAGCAAAAGGAGCAACAAAGTAAGCTGCTCTTACCGGTGTTCTGGCACTCTTGGCGGCACTCCTCCATGCTGACGAAGTTGTTGTCGTTGCCGAGGCACCCGCCGAAGATGAACTCCTGGCACTGGTCGGCCGAGGCGTTGTAGAAGAAGCGCTTGAAGGAGGCGCGGCACATGCCCTTGGCCAGGGGCTGAGAGCAGCGCCCCTCGCAGTGCACCTTCTCGCCGCTGGCGCTGAGGGAGAAGAGGGGGGTGAGGGAGGAGAAGAGGGGGGATATATATATATATATATATATATATATATATATATATATATATATATATATATATATATATATATATATATATATATATATATATATATATATATATATATATATATATATATATATATATATATATATATATATATATATATATATATATATATATATATATATATATATATATATATATATATATATATATATATATATATATATATATATATATATATATATATATATATATATATATATATATATATATATATATATATATATATATATATATATATATATATATATATATATATATATATATATATATATATATATATATATATATATATATATATATATATATATATATATATATATATATATATATATATATATATATATATATATATATATATATATATATATATATATATATATATATATATATATATATATATATATATATATATATATATATATATATATATATATATATATATATATATATATATATATATATATATATATATATATATATATATATATATATATATATATATATATATATATATATATATATATATATATATATATATATATATATATATATATATATATATATATATATATATATATATATATATATATATATATATATATATATATATATATATATATATATATATATATATATATATATATATATATATATATATATATATATATATATATATATATATATATATATATATATATATATATATATATATATATATATATATATATATATATATATATATATATATATATATATATATATATATATATATATATATATATATATATATATATATATATATATATATATATATATATATATATATATATATATATATATATATATATATATATATATATATATATATATATATATATATATATATATATATATATATATATATATATATATATATATATATATATATATATATATATATATATATATATATATATATATATATATATATATATATATATATATATATATATATATATATATATATATATATATATATATATATATATATATATATATATATATATATATATATATATATATATATATATATATATATATATATATATATATATATATATATATATATATATATATATATATATATATATATATATATATATATATATATATATATATATATATATATATATATATATATATATATATATATATATATATATATATATATATATATATATATATATATATATATATATATATATATATATATATATATATATATATATATATATATATATATATATATATATATATATATATATATATATATATATATATATATATATATATATATATATATATATATATATATATATATATATATATATATATATATATATATATATATATATATATATATATATATATATATATATATATATATATATATATATATATATATATATATATATATGCGGGGGTGAGGGCGGCAAGAGGGATTCTGGGAGTATATGACGCACCCGAAAAGTAATCGTAGCAATGGCAATCACAAGAATGAAAACGACACCAGCGATCATGATAGTGTAAAAACTACTATTAATAACAACAAGAATCACCATTGCATAGATGTAAGAAACAACAACAATAAGAACAACAAACTTAACAACAGCAAATACCATTAAACCCTCCCCCCACGCCCTACCCACCAACCCGGAGACCCACCTGTAGAAGGAGACCCTGCAGTCGTTGCAGGGGTCGGCCACGCAGACGGCGTCGGGGTGCGAGTGGCAGGACGCCCGCAGGCACTCGCTCCGGCACACCCTGGCCCTGGCGCCGCGCGGACACACGAACCCGACGGACACCTGCTCCAGGATCTGGCCTGTGGGGGGGCGGAGCGAGGGATTAGTCGGGGGTAGAAGGTGTTGGTGATTTTGAAAGAAGTTCGATGATTTTGAAAGAAGTTCGATGATTTTGAAAGAAGTTCGATGGTTTTGAAAGAAGTTCGATGGTTTTGAAAGAAGTTCGATGATTTTGAAAGAAGTTCGATGATTTTGAAAGAAGTTCGATGATTTTGAAAGAAGTTCGATGATTTTGAAAGAAGTTCGATGATTTTGAAAGAAGTTAGGTGATTTTGAAAGAAGTTCGATGATTTTGAAAGAAGTTCGATGATTTTGAAAGAAGTTAGGTGGTTTTGAAAGAAGTTAGGTGATTTTGAAAGAAATTAGTTGATTTTGAAAGAAGTTAGGTAATTTTGAAAGAAATTAGTTGATTTTGAAAGAAGTTAGGTAATTTTGAAAGAAATTAGTTGATTTTGAAAGAAATTAGTTGATTTTGAAAGAAATTAGTTGATTTTGAAAGAAGTTAGGTAATTTTGAAAGAAATTAGTTGATGATTTTGAAAGAAATTAGTTGATTTTGAAAGAAGTTAGGTAATTTTGAAAGAAATTAGTTGATTTTGAAAGAAATTAGTTGATTTTGAAAGAAGTTAGGTGATTTTGAAAGAAATTAGTTGATTTTGAAAGAAATTAGTTGATTTTGAAAGAAGTTAGGTGATTTTGAAAGTTAGATGTTAGAAGTTTTTAGAAGCGAATAAGTAAATATTAGGAAGGGCTGAAAAAGGGCCTTGATTCTCGGAAATATATATATTTCTTATCTTCTATTGCTATTAATGATGCTAACAACTTTATAATAATCACGATTACTATAATCATAACAGGATATTGTAAGTATTAATAAAACGAATCCCAAACACTACAGGCCGGTGGGGGGGGGGGATGCGAACACTACAAGTGGATTAAAAATGGGAGATGGGAGGATTATGACTGAAAAAAATGATTAAAAATACGAATATGAAAATTGAATTACGAAGAACTAGGATGAAAGAAAAGGACTGGAATGGATAATGATTATCCTAAATCCTTCTTATTCTTAAAGATTAAAGGATTATATGGGATTAATATTTAAAAAAAGGGATTAAGGATTAGAATACGATAACGTTGGGTTAGAAGGGGTTATAGGATTTAAAAAAAAAAAGTTCAAGAGTGAGTTTTGTGATCAGGATTAAGTCAGGAAAAAACAACAACTTTACGCGTAGTTTATAATAGAGTGAATTAAAAATGGATCTAAGAAACGGAAAAAAAATTATCGCACAAATAAACTACAGTAATAAAAATTAATGGCTAAACGTACTGAATTGAATAAACAAAACTAAACCAATAGATTTTTTTTTTTTTTTGGGGGGGGGAGGGGCATGCGATCCTCATTATTAATTCAAACTTACATTATATGTAAGAATTTTATATTTAAAAAAAATATCTGCATCTGATATACACCTACATTTAAAACATTAAAACTACGGACGAAAACAGGCATATACTTTTTTTCCAATTTAATAAAAAAAAAAAAAGTTGAAACGTTAAAAAAAAAAGTTGAAACGTTGAAAATGTAGTCGTTTTTTCTCTCTTTTTTCCGTTAATTATGCCTGTACTTTCCATGATCCAACTTCCACGCGCGCTCGTAACCCGGGTACTAATTTGATCAAACAGTAATAATGCTTCCAAATAAATTACGTATTATTGTCATTAGTTGTCTGACAGTAATACAGTTTCACTAATGACTCCAGCATAATCGTGTATCAGTATTTTGCGTTATCATGTATACCAAAAAAAATATGTATATAAAATGCATATCCTTAGAATTTCTGTTAATGATAATAATGATGCTCATTATTAAAACAAATTAAAAATGGGTTACAGTACCGTTGTTCATTAGCATAATCCTGACAATATTTTTTGATTAGAAACAAAGTGATCGTATTTTTGATTATGAACAACGAAGGCATTTTACATTTGCAAAGCGATCATGAGAATAATAATGAGGAAAAGCATAATAATGTTAATAATAGTAATAATAGAAGGTAAATGACAGCGGAAACAATAATGATAATAATAACTACTGGTAATAAAGTAATAATAATGACAATGATATGATAATGATGATGAAGATAATAATAATAATAGTAAATGATATCTATAATAATCATAATATCATCATAATAACAACACACACATTACAAACAAACAAACCAATATAAAAAACATCAATATCAATAATGACAAACATTAAAATACTGACAACAACGCCAACGAAAGTAATAACAGCGTACCAATAATAGCGTCAATGAAAATTACTAACTGGCCATTGTAACTACACTTCCAGCCGTTCGTTATCACTAATAACTACTACGGCTACTTTCATGTCCATAGTAATGCTAACTGCTATAACGACTATACTACCTCTGTCGCGGCTAGGACAATGCTACTACTTTGATATCGATATAATTTTATGTTAGCAATACTAACCTATGAATTCAATTTTTACTACTAAACTAAAACGAATATGAGAGTAATAACGATTGTTACAACTATAATGCTATAACGATACTAAAACGAATATTTTATGCCTAACATTACAACAATAAGGAAACAACAATAGCACCATTATACTATAACAGCTATACTGCTACTACTACTTGAACATGATTTCCAACATAACTACTACCACTAGGCTTACCGTAACAACAACAACAACGAAAGTAACAAAACAACAACACCACCACCAAGACTAACAGCAACAGCACCAACATCAACTACATTTGCAACACCACCACCCAAACAACATAAGCAACACCAAACAACATCTGCAACAAAAACATTAGCAACAGCACCACCAACACCATCAGCAACAGCACCAAACAACATCAGCAACACCATTATCAATACCAAACAACATCTGCAACTAAAACAACATTAGCAACACCACCAAACACCATCAGCAACACCAAACAACATCTGCAACAAAAACATCAGCAATACTAAACAACATCTGCAACACCACCAAACAACAACATTAGCAACACCATCATCACCAGCACCATCCCCGGCGCCTCACCATTGGGTCCGCAGCGCACGTGGCCGCGGGTGAGCGTCTCGTGGATGGGGCGCCCCTTGGCGTCCACGCACCACGTTAGGCCGCCCGATCGCTGCTCGCGGGCGTACCCTCCGTCGGCTTCGCACACGGGGGCCTGGACCGTCATGCCCTGGGCGGAGGCGGGCGTCTCTGTGGGCGGGAGAAGAGGTGGGGGTGAGTGCTGGAGCAGGGGGGTGGAGGGGAGGAGGGGAAGAGGTGGAAGGAAGAAGGTGGTTGCGGTGGTGGAGGAGGAGGAGAGGAGGAGGAGATGAGGAGGAGGAGGAGGAGAAAAGGAGGAGGAGGAAGAGGAGGAGGAGGAGGAGGAGGAGGAGGGGGTAGGAGGAGAAGCAGGAGGTAGAAGGAAAAGGAGGGACGGAGAAAACTTACATAATAAACATATATGTAAGTACATGTATATGTATATAAATGTATATGTATATATATTATATATATGTATAATATGGACATACGGCCATATACACACGTATATCCACACACATACGTGCATATACACACACACAAAATACAAGTAACTGATCCCTCATAAAAAATACAACCAACAACATACAAAACAGACCCCCCTCCCCCCATCGCCCTCCCGTCCGCCGAGCCAAACTCCGGCGGCACTGAATAGGCCGGGCAAACAGCGCCCCGACGACCGCGAGCCAGAGGGCGTGCGTGGGCAGGCCGGGGCTCTCGTGTGGCATCGCAAGTGGCACCACAAAGCCCTCTCGGTGCCTGTAATGGTGTCACCGCCCTCATCAACACAGGCGGCGCGGGCAGGTGTTTGTGTGGGCGTGTGTACAGCTCCAGGGCCGTTATGTGGTGTGCTAAAGAGCGTCCTATTTACATATCATTAAGTTTAAGAAAAGGTGTGTGTTTTGGGAACGCCATTTTTTTTATTCATTCGCTCTGTGTTGACAGTTTTTTTTTGTGTGTGAGCGTGCGTGTGGTTTTACTTTTTTTTTGGTCTACTCTTTTGTTCTTTTTATCGCAGGCTTTCTGAGTCGTCTGAATGTTTTTCCTTTTTTTTTCTCTTTCTGATGCTTCATTTTATCTTTTAGATTTTTTTAACCCCGTTTACTTTCTTTTTATTTTCTGCGCATTTTTTCTCGTCCCTTTTTCTTTCTTTTTTTTCTCCCTGGTCTCTTTTCTTTCAGACTTTCCTCTCTCTTACCACTTTCTTCTCTTCTCCCTCTTACCTCTTTCACTATCAGCTCTATTCTCTTATATCTTCTTTCTCTCTACCTCTTTATCGTCGTCCTTTTCTCCCATCCCTCTTTGGGGCTTTATTTCCTCTCTACGTCTTTCCCATCTTCGTTTTCTCCCACTTTTGCTAATTCCTCTCTTTATCATTTTCTCCCTGCTTTCTCTCTCTCTTTTTTACCCATTATTCCTCCCTTCTCTTCCTAAATATTTTATTCATTTTCTCCTCTGTCAGAATAAATTTTGTTCATGCTCAAGCCGCGTTCTTTGCACAAAATATGTCGTCAAAGTTATTTGTGTCTAACCGTTACATGACCTTGTTTTGAAGAACACGACCTGACTTCAAAACTTTATAAACTTTTACCAAAAAGAAACTTATTTATATTTAATGCATGCGTGCGATAGTTTACATATACTGACCTAACTTTTCCCCTGTATGAATTTAAAAGATATTTGTTGTATCTTTCCTTCCTATAACTAACCGTTGAGATACCAATCCCTGTATCATCAATAATATCAAAAATTACATTAATTTGCTTCTCATTTTCCACGACAAAGACCGTACATAGTCATCAGTCAAGTCCTATTAAAGAGCTTTGTATTGGGATTATAAGCCATAGCGTTCCACTTCTTTGATTCGCCCCCCCTCCCCCTCCCCCCACTTATGGCTTGACATCCCCCCCTCTTGACAATTATTTCATTCACTGATAAAATCATATCATTTTTAATACATCTCATTAATATTCTTGACAATACTCCATAATATCCTTAACAGAACCCTCCCCCCCTCCCAATACCCTTTATATACCCCCCAGTGTCCTTAACATCCCCCCCCACTTTTTTTTACCCCCCCCCCCCTCAATACCCTCCCTCCCCCCGCCTTACCTTGAGGCTCGACGCACACGGCCCCGCAGCCATTGAAGCAGCACTTTCTGGATCCCTCGCAGTGGGTATCGTACGTGCACTGCTGGCTGGGCACGCACGTCAGCAGGGACACGTCGCTGGGGGGGCTGGGGCACGTGCCGGGCTTGGGTACCAGGTCTATGTGGGCGGGGCACGGCATGGGGCACAGCGCGGCACGGCAGGTACACGGGCAGGCAGCACGGGCATGCAAGCAGGCGGGTGGGGAGTTAGTCTACGTGCAAGGGTTGGGCATGGGAGGGGGAGGGGGAAGGGGAGGGAGGGGCCTGGGGTAGAGGGGGGGGGCATGTAAGTTGGGTGTGTGTGTTTGCGTGTGACTGTGTGTGTGTGTGTTGTGTGTGTGTGTGTTGTGTGTGTGTGTGTGGTGTGTGTGTGTGTGTGTGTTGTGTGTGTGTGTGTGTGTGTGGTGTGGTGGTGTTTGTTACTTGTGCGTGCGTGTACGTGTGCGTGCGTTTATGTGTATGTGTGTATGCGTGTACGTGTACATGTGCGTATGTCTGCTTTTACTTTCGCGTGTGTTATTACTACGTGTATATTCATGTACAAAGTACATTTGGATGAGCGCTTGCATAAAGAACAGGACAGCGAAGGGGGAAATGCACAGAGAATCAGTGTGCGAAATGTTTTACAGTAAACATGAAAGTAAACAAATAGAGGAAGGAATCGTGCATGCAGGAGGAAACAAAACTTGTGTGTTATATAAACACATACAGACCACAAACACACCCACACGCACACGCACACAGACACAAACACGCCCACACGCATACAGACATACTCACACTTACACACAGTCACACACAACATCCCCCCCCCCTTACACACCCTCAATTCAGACACATTCCCTCCCTCCTACACACACACTTACACCCACACATACACCATACTCCCCCTACAAACCACACATGTCCCCCCCCCCCTCCCCCTCCCCCACTTATGGCTTGACATCCCCCCCTCTTGACAATTATTTCATTCACTGATAAAATCATATCATTTTTAATACATCTCATTAATATTCTTGACAATACTCCATAATATCCTTAACAGAACCCTCCCCCCCTCCCAATACCCTTTATATACCCCCCAGTGTCCTTAACATCCCCCCCCACTTTTTTTTACCCCCCCCCCCCTCAATACCCTCCCTCCCCCCGCCTTACCTTGAGGCTCGACGCACACGGCCCCGCAGCCATTGAAGCAGCACTTTCTGGATCCCTCGCAGTGGGTATCGTACGTGCACTGCTGGCTGGGCACGCACGTCAGCAGGGACACGTCGCTGGGGGGGCTGGGGCACGTGCCGGGCTTGGGTACCAGGTCTATGTGGGCGGGGCACGGCATGGGGCACAGCGCGGCACGGCAGGTACACGGGCAGGCAGCACGGGCATGCAAGCAGGCGGGTGGGGAGTTAGTCTACGTGCAAGGGTTGGGCATGGGAGGGGGAGGGGGAAGGGGAGGGAGGGGCCTGGGGTAGAGGGGGGGGGCATGTAAGTTGGGTGTGTGTGTTTGCGTGTGACTGTGTGTGTGTGTGTTTACTTGTGCGTGCGTGTACGTGTGCGTGCGTTTATGTGTATGTGTGTATGCGTGTACGTGTACATGTGCGTATGTCTGCTTGTACTTTCGCGTGTGTTATTACTACGTGTATATTCATGTACAAGTACATTTGGATGAGCGCTTGCATAAAGAACAGGACAGCGAAGGGGGAAATGCACAGAGAATCAGTGTGCGAAATGTTTTACAGTAAACATGAAAGTAAACAAATAGAGGAAGGAATCGTGCATGCAGGAGGAAACAAAACTTGTGTGTTATATAAACACATACAGACCACAAACACCCCCCCCCCCCTCTCAATACCCTCCCTCCCCCCGCCTTACCTTGAGGCTCGACGCACACGGCCCCGCAGCCATTGAAGCAGCACTTTCTGGATCCCTCGCAGTGGGTATCGTACGTGCACTGCTGGCTGGGCACGCACGTCAGCAGGGACACGTCGCTGGGGGGGCTGGGGCACGTGCCGGGCTTGGGTACCAGGTCTATGTGGGCGGGGCACGGCATGGGGCACGGCGCGGCACGGCAGGTACACGGGCAGGCAGCACGGGCATGCAAGCAGGCGGGTGGGGAGTTAGTCTACGTGCAAGGGTTGGGCATGGGAGGGGGAGGGGGAAGGGGAGGGAGGGGCCTGGGGTAGAGGGGGGGGGCATGTAAGTTGGGTGTGTGTGTTTGCGTGTGACTGTGTGTGTGTGTGTGTGTGTGTGTGTGTGTGTGTGTGTGTGTGTGTGTGTGTGTGTGTGTGTGTGTGTGTGTTTACTTGTGCGTGCGTGTACGTGTGCGTGCGTTTATGTGTATGTGTGTATGCGTGTACGTGTACATGTGCGTATGTCTGCTTTTACTTTCGCGTGTGTTATTACTACGTGTATATTCATGTACAAGTACATTTGGATGAGCGCTTGCATAAAGAACAGGACAGCGAAGGGGAAATGCACAGAGAATCAGTGTGCGAAATGTTTTACAGTAAACATGAAAGTAAACAAATAGAGGAAGGAATCGTGCATGCAGGAGGAAACAAAACTTGTGTGTTATATAAACACATACAGACCACAAGCACACCCACACGCACACGCACACAGACACAAACACGCCTACACGCATACAGACATACTCACACTTAAACACTCACAAACACCCTCCCCTCACATTCAAACACATTCCCTCCCTCCTACACACACACTTACACCCCCCCACACATACACCATACCTCCCCCCCCACAAACACACACTTCCCCCCCCTCCCCCTCCTCCAAAGTCCAGGCGAGTTAACCTACAACGAAGCCAGACATTCATAAACTGTGCAATGCAGAATCCAACTCCTTTTGGCCTAAACTAATGTTATTTCCTTAACTTTTTTTTACGTCTTGCTTTCTGCTCACGGCCTCCTCTTATTTTCATCTTTATTTTTTTTTATTTTTTTTTTTTTATTCCATTTTCATTTTTCTTTATGTTTGAGAGGAGAGGGCCTGAGGTCACCGTGGCTTCATTTTGGCTTCGGAATGTGTAAGTCAACGAAAATGGACAGTGTGTTATTTTTTTTTTTTTTTTTTTTGGGGGGGGGGAGGGATGGATGGAGTCTTTTATTTATTTCTTTTGTGTCTTTCTCTTCTCTTCTCTAGCTCATCTCTCTCTCTCTCTCTCTCTCTCTCTTCTCTTCCATCTCTCTCTCTCTCTCCCTCTTTCTCTCTCTCTCTTCTCTCCTCGTTCTCTCTCTCTCTTCTCTCCCTCTTTCTCTCTCTCTCTTCTCTCCCTCTTTCTCTCTCTCTCTTCTCACCCTTTCTCTCTCTCACCCTTTCTCTCTCTCTCCCTCTTTCGTTCTCTCTCTTCCTCTCTCTCTCTCTCCTCCTCATCTATTCTCACTCTATTGCCCTAAATTATGCAATGTTAATGAATTCATAATGATTCTTTTTTCTTCTTCTTTAGCTCATTTGCATAAACTTCTTGAAACTTGTAACTTCTGTGATTAGCGGTGGAAACATGAGG